TTCAGGGGGCGTGGCTTTGGACGGCGATTGCAGGGAGGGGGGGACATTCGCTTTCAGTGCTATCAGGCTAAAGTTAGCATTTTCCAAGATCTCCTATTGCGCCTTTAATTTTAATGCAAGTACATAGTAGTTAAGGCCACTTAATATAAAGTGGGACAGTTTTTTTTTTTTTGTCCTTTTATATATTTAACGATTTAGCCACATGTTGCACAGCCGACTGAATACAAGACACTCACTAATTCTCAGTGACAGTGACAACGTGATTTGATACAGTGTTTTATTGCAAGCACTTGTATTTCTTTCAGGGAATGAAAATCTAATTCTTAGTGTCCTTTTTACTGAATTCCCCACAGGTTATGTACAGTTTTTATTTAAATTTACTAGATGAGAAATAGCATGAAAGCTTTCTATGTTCAGGCTTTTACCAAAACCACTGCCTTTTATCTCAGTTGTAAGTCGGTGGCACGTAATCATTTTATTGAATAGTGATTGGCAAGAAGACATGTGATCTCATCTTCTGGAGTATTTTTAATTCATTGACTCTGTTATTTTTTACCAGCTCTAATTGCATTCCATTAAATCCTGCAAAATTACGTAATTGTGCCCATTTCATTGATTAATTTTCTTTGATTAAGAAATTTTCACAGGAGTGGAATGCAGCGTTTGTTAAACAATGGCTTCTATACTTTAATAGAGGGCCCCATGCCGACTCCCAGTTTGTGTCAGACAGAGATAGAGTGTGTGTTGTCAGTGTTGGAAGCGATCTGATGCCAAAACCATGACCTCACTCCAACACATGTCCCATTATTTAAGGAGACTTTGAGGATTTCAACCACATTTCCACCAACAGACTGATTTATTATGTGAATAAAGGCTCCCCCGCCAAACACACACCCTTGCTGCACTATGCTATCATGAATAATAATAATAATAATCAAAGCAATAAGGCCACAGAAGCAAAACAGTTGTCAGCATTTAGTGGGTCCTGCTCACACACACACAGTTTTTTGGATAGGCAGTAGAGTGATATCTGTTATTGATTGCCACACCTTTTTTCAACACTTTACAGAGTTCAGTTTGTCAGGCTACAAGAGGAACAAGAGGAAGATGGAGCTGGCGGAGCAGGTTGAGACGAAGAGGAAAAGACAATCATGTGAACATGTGAGTGAATCTAAGTCTACCTTCACACTGCAGGAAAATGTGGCCTAAATCTGAATTTTTTATTTTTTTTGCTCATATATGACTCCGATCTTTTCGATTCTGATTTGGGCAACTTTCATAGGTGGTCCTAAATCTGATTCAGATCAGATGTTTTGCAATGCGACCACAGTCTAAACGGTCATAATCGTAATTCATACGACTGTTACATCACTCTAGATCGTCATTATCCTGCACGACAGGAGACAATCCAATGAATTTACATACCGGTAGGTCTTTGATCACTCAGTGAATATGACAGATGCGGAGGCAGTCAGTAGAGAGACAGTGTGATGTTATTTTATGGCGTATTACACTGACAGCTCTATACAAGCTAAACTTAAGGGAGTCGTACGGTAAATATTTAAAACCTTTGCTCTCTTTCTCCTCATCTTCATCCTCCTTATCACCTGCTCACAAATTTGCTGGCTTTCGCGGCACATCAGCGTATAAATGCTTACTTAAGTGGCCTCCTTGTTTTCTTCCATGTGACGGCGTGCTTCATGACATCTTGTTTTCGTTCTTTTGCACATGCGGGTTAGTTCAGGACTGTCATTGATTCACACTAGAATCTGATATTGGCCACATTAAAAAATGATAATATGGTAAAAAATCTCTCTGACCAAAGCTTCTCCCATCCAAACAAGGTCTATACTTAACACCTGCTCAATTATTACATTATTTATTACTAATAATAATTAATGTTATACAAAATGTATAAATATAATTTTAAATATAAAATATATAAATTTAATTATTACATTAATTTTGAATTGTATTATGCAAACTATTTATTAATTTAATTATTATATATTGGGATGAATTATTAATTATTTATATTACAATGAATAATCTAATTGTCATGCAGACAGAAACATTAAAAAATTTTACCATTGTACCACTACCTTTGTCAGGTGTGGCAAAAAGTTAAAACCTTGTTTGGACCTTGAGTTTAAAACCGAGTTCAAATTAGGCAGCATTTGTCTGTTCACACTAAATACAAAACTTCTGCATTACCTGACTGAATCACATCCATATTTGATATTTAATACACTGTTATGTGGAGAGGACCAATGAGATTTCAGTATGGGTGGGGCTATCCGGAGTGACTTCAGAAATAGAAACAAAGCTTCCATCAAAGTGTTCTGAACTTTGTCAGGTCTGTTTCAGACTTGATGTTGAGAGTTTCTTGAGAGTTTTTTTAATAGAAGGGAAAACTTTAACATTCAGGATATGCCGTTGATTTTTGGCATAGGCTTTAAACCCCCTGATTAAAAAAAGACTGAACTAAATATGCAAGTTTCTCCTATAAATTCTCCATGATGTATAAGTTTCCACTCTCCCATTCAGTTTTAATTAGGCTTAAACACAGTGCAGAGGAGGCATGTGCTCTGACATTATTACTCGACTGATAACAGGATCTGCATCTGTTCAGTCCTCTAATTCAAAACCACCACATATACCCAGAGGAGGAAACCCATAGGGTAATGAAGACCTTGAAGGGGGTGTGTAGACCTCAAATACTCACAATCACAGGAAACACACATACGTATACTTACTGCATTGCTGACATGGCACTGCACACAAGGAATTTGACTTGGATGACAGTTCTGTGACACTCTTTTGTAGCTTCTTGTCATTGCCTTGAAAAGCATGAGTTCAGCAGGTAGACATGAAAAGGTCAACTTGAAAAGATCTTTTTAGCCATTTACTCTGGGGCTGTTTCAAATGCATAATTTAGTTCATGGACCCACTGTTATTTTAGTATCATTGAGATACTTTTACTGTTTTTATTAATATTTTGAATATTACTTTGAATTTTACTATATTATTTAAAATACAGTATTTAGTTTTATATTTGACATTTTCATTTTAAAGCTTTAGTAATTTTCTTGTGTATTTGTCATTTTTAGTATAATTCTATATAGTTTTTATTCATTTTTATGTCATGTTTAGTTATTTTAGTACATCAAGTTAAACTAAATTAAAATGAGAAATGTTTATTTTATGTTTAGTTTTTCACTTCAGTTAACTTTTAATTTTAGTTTCAGTTTTAGGTAACCATAATAAGCCTGCATGGACCATTTATCTTATTTTAAAGTAACTAAAAATACAGGTTAAGGAGTTTTAAGGCTCGTTGATGCGATATGAGACCATGGTGCTTCAGCACCATCTCCACCCTGCCGCCCGATCTCCCCCGCCCACATCTTGAAGTTATTTCTCCGAATTATTTCCTGTAATGTGCTTGAACATGTTAGCATCTCTCCTACATTTTTGGTAGATTTTCAAGGAAGCGATTTGACAGGTACACATGGAATGCAGGTGTTGAGGGAAAATGGGTTCCAGCGCAAATCCGTCCGTGATGTGATGCTTGTGTGGTCCCGATGAGAAAGCGAAACGTGGGTCACTCATGGGTCATTAGTTGCAAATTACAGTGTCTGAAAATGTGGGCGAAAATGTTATTGGACAGGAAAGACAAATACGTTGCGGTCTAACTTGGTTTGGTATATGTGGTACTCTTGTTCGGTGTTCGAACTTTGTATGGTTTGTTTTAAAGATAGCATCAGTTTGAAGTAAGTGATTGCTGTTGGCGCTGTCTGCATGAATGATCTGTGCCTCTGGGATGCCACATGGTCTTTCTTCCTTCAAGTTAGTTCAGTAAAGACTTTTCTCCAGAGCTATGCATTAAAAGGTCATTAAGATAACAACACAACCCC